TAATTCATTCATTTTCTATGGATTATCAATCCTTTGCAGGTTATTTAAAGCCAGAAAATATTGTTAGATTGTAAGAATTTTTTTGGTGATAATAATGATTTACTGATACTAGTCTTACTAATTAACCCATAGCCGGAGGGAGACGAGGTGGATTCCTACCTTTCCCATGATTTTTTGCATATAAGTGAATGTAACAAACTTCAACTGTAATTGAAACTCTGATCTCCGATTAACAATTCTAAACTATTATCCATTACTCTACCCACACATCCAAGCTAACAGCACCTGGTCTTCTCAAGCGGTCATCCATCTAGGTACTAACCAGGCTCAGTGTTGCTTACCTTGGGTGATCATATGGGAACTAGTGTTTCAACATGATGTGGCTGTAAGCCTTGAGATGCCAGGTCAAGGCCAATAAGATTGCAGACCCATCTTTGAATTTTTTTGAGAATCCCCAAGATAGCATAAGCACCATCCCAGATATGGCAGCAATATTCAATGCACAGACAAATGGTAGACTTATAAATGTGTAAGATAGATTCGGACAAGAAAAACTGTCTGGCACTTCTTACAATCCAAAAATGTTTTAACTGTAAATAACCCATCAGTGGGTGATAAACTGTAAAAAAAAACAAAAAAAAAAACAGATCAATCACTTAAGCTTATCTAAAGGGATGAGAATATTGTCAAGATGACTCCCAATATAACAATGATGAGAGAATCAGTTTCAAATTTTTGATAAACAGCTGCGGCTTGAATTTGAACTTGATCTGCTCATTTCATTTTCAAAGTGACCGCCGAGACTGCATCTCTTTAGCATGATGGTCCAAACGAACGTTTAAACAAATGAGTTTTCCTCAAAAGAAATTATTGTTTTGAGAAGTCAAAAGAAACTCCGGCAGGCTTCTGCATCAAGATCAATGCCATGCCGACCAAGCCCAAATCTCGGCCACATCAACACTGATGTCAGAATTGTTGAACAGAAGCCAGGAAAAATAAGCACAAATGAAAAATAAAAAAAAAATAAAATAAAGTTCTAAGACAGAAATAATCTCCAGAATTGGCCAAACAACGTCAAAATAACAAATAGAAATAAAAAAAATATAGAAATACAACGGTGAACAATAACAAGAGCAGATCAAATATGAAAGGGATACACATTGTTTTTATGTTTCGTTCTCCTTCTGTTATTGTGAAACTGTAAACCTCACAGTTGATTTGCTATGAAGGAAGGAGGCCGAAAAAAGATAAGCAACTCTCAAAAACATCTTTCTTCAACAAGAACGCACTTAATGAATGGCAGATCAAATAACTCCTTTGTAGCTCTTACACTGAAGATTTTCAGTATTTATATTACAGAATCAGGAGCTGCTAATATCAGTTGGTCAATCATCATCATTATTATTAAAAGGAAGAAAAGAAAAAATTTTATATGTCAGTAATATTGTAGGTGATGATGATAATACCTCTACCTTTTAATATAAGAAGAGAAAAAAACCATAAACTGTATCACAGTCGTCATGGAGACAATGACGTCATACTTACCATTTAATATTATGATATTATTTATTACAAACTTGGAATGTGCATAGTGGTGTATTGGTTATCAATGTGAAAAATAAAATCAAGAAACCAAGTTAGAACTGCAGTGTTTTCTGTTTACTATTAGTAATATTAGATGTTTCCTTATAAGGAAACAGGTGACTGGGTAATTACTACTGCCAATAGAGTTTTCTTCAAGCCCTGGCCATAGGACTGGGATCAAAGTATCTGTTCTCCTCATCTCTAATGGTAATGATAATATTAGCCGTTTCATTATATGGAAACATTCAGCATTCATTGACTGAGCAGCCAGTGCAACTCAAGTTTTACTTTTCTTCATTCACTGGCCGTAGGATTGGAATCAAAGTGTAATATGTTCTCTTCATCTCTAATAATAATGGCAATATTAGCTGTTTCCTTATGAGGAAACATTTGGCATTCATTGGCCAAGAAGACAGTGTTACTTTCAGTTGAAATTTATAAAATCTTTCTATTAAAACAATCAGGAAAAATAGGTCTGTCAAGTTTAGTAAATGCTATAGCTCTTTCCAGTATTGACATGAACTTCCTTCCTAACCTTTTTTTGAAGTAGTGCAGAATGTTAATATCTTGATTATGTCATTATTTTCTGTTCAAGTTGCATGTCCTATTCATAAGTGGTTTTTATTATTTGGTACTGTTCTTTGTTTGTGGTTCCGTAGAGCCAGTGTATAAGTTTCAAAAAGGATGGTTTTATCAAGATCCACAGTCTTCACTTGCTTACAGCCATAAGAAAGTCTCTATCTGACGATGCGATTTAAGAATATAACTCGAGTTTTTGGGTTAATAGTTTAGTTTGGTATGATATGTTTTGTTTAACGGCATATCAACTTCTTATGAGTCATTTAATGACAAGATTTAATTTTCTTGGGAGCTTTAGTTCATATTAAAATCTATTACTGGAAATTTTTTTTTCCTATTAGACTCTATTGCTGGAATTTTTTTTTTTTTTTCCTATTAAAATCTATTGCTGGAATATTTTTTTTTCCTATTAAAATCTATTGCTGGAATTTTTTTTTTCCTATTAGACTCTATTGCTGGAATTTTTTTTTTTCCTATTAAAATCTATTGCTGGAATTTTTTTTTATTATTAAAATCTACTGTTGGAATTTTTTTTTTCCTATTAAAATCTATTGCTGGAATATTTTTTTTCCTATTAAAATCTATTGCTGGAATTTTTTTTTTTTTAAATTAAAATCTATTGCTGAATTTTTTTTTATTATTAAAATCTATTGCTGGTATTTTTATACTTTCATTGTGTTTTTACCTCAGTTTGGGAGTTCCCATAGCTGTGTTCCTAACAAGTACTACAACCCTGGATCAGAGTTGACCTGGGAACAAGAGCAATTAAGAGATGATTTCATTCTCCTCAAAACCCCCCAATCAGATTGCTGCTGGATGTAGTTTATCATCATACCTAGGACAGTTAGGTTAATGTCTTGTTTTTGTAATAGTTGGGACAAAACTACCCTCAGCACCAACTAGTCTATGTTCAATTTCCTTATCTATACTAAATTTGTTGTAACTGATCCATATACCGAGTTAATTGAAGTATTTAGCATTTACTAATTCCACATCCTGAATTTTTACGAGGGGATTGAACTCACAATTATTATATCACCAAATTCATGAAACAACCTTTTAATCCACTAGGCTACAGTAGGCCTAGTAGATTAAAGTATTTCTTTCTGATTTTTCAGGTGTCTGTTGTAGTTGGTAAGCATTTGGTAATTTGTCTCGGGATATCTCATCTACTTATTATTTTTAGTACTGCTCAGTTATTTCCTGGGTTGTTTCCACTGAATTGGATAGTGTATACTCGGACTCAGTGGAAGCAGGGAGAGCAATAACTGAGCCATAATAAAAATAGCAACTAAAGAAGATATCCCAAAACAGGGGAAATGAGAACAGTCCAACTCTGTAGATTAAATAAAGAATGGTAAAATTGCAGATTAAACCCCAGAAACCAATTGTAATGAAAATTTCCATTCTGGTGTAAACTTGCATGCTTATTTCAAAAATAACAATAAAAGTTTGTGAAAGAAAATCATTTAGGAGTTATCAACAATATAAGTTCAGCCTTATTTGCATCACAGCTACAGCCCAGCCAGCATTACTGGCTTTGTTAACATATGTTTGCCTCAAGTAGTCATGTGCAGAAGCTTCACTTGTCTTGATTACAATCTGCAAACTTTAAATGCCCACATTAATCAAGACCTGTAAGATAAGAAGATCAGTAAAAAGGCCGTTTACTAAGTAAATTTCTGCACATTACTACGTGAGGTAAACATTAGTAAATGCTAAACACGTGAGGTAAACAACATGAATAATGGTAGCCGACTTAGCCAGACTAAATGCAAATAAGGCTGAACTTATATTGTTGATAAGTCCTAAACAGTTTTTTTTACAAACTTTTATTGTTATTTTTTAAATAAGCATGCAAATTTACACCAGAATGGAAATTTTCATTACAATTGGTTTCTGGGGTTTAATCTGCAATTGTACCATTCTTTATTTAAAGGGCAAAATGGCTGAAACATTGTGATAATAACAATAGAGATGCGGACATTAGTCTGAATGTAAATAATGGGTTACTGGTATTCAGTTTCAAGAAAAAGTGGGAGACAGGCTGAAGCCTCCTCAACCACAAGCCCATAACATTACTTTAAATAATAAAATACTTTAAGAAATTCGAGTAACTTAAAATATAACAGAATACATCTTTTCAGTTCTTTTCTGCTAGAAGACAGTGAACTTACAAATTACATGATATTTTTAGCCATACTTTACCATAAATAATTCTGACAAAAAGCCCCAGGGATTCTCTTCACACATCAGTTAAGAGGTGCAGAGAGTTCACTTCCTAATTGACAGACTGTTAGCAACAAAATTTTTAATCAGTCAACCTCCTAGTGACCTTAGCAACATCACAATTCACTAAAATTATGTCTTTAAATATAGATACAAAGTTTAGATCACTACACAGATAAAATAATTGCCTAACCTGAAGTTGTTTTTTTTCTTTTTTAGCTTTGTTTGTGAGATTATGATTAAATAGAAAACTGTACACAGAGATCCCTTTTAAAATCAACTTCCAATAACAAAATCTTTTTGGCTGCAGTGTCAAATTATTTCCTTCATCAATTCAAGTCACCCGTTCCACAAATTTATGCAAACACAAATACACACTTTCTGTCATCATTAATTTTTTTTAATACATTAAAACTGTTAAATAGATGGTCATTGTGGGAAAAGGATGGGCAAAGTTGGCATCATTAGCAGCAAGGAACCAATCAATAATGGAAATCAATCAATAACTGTAAAAAAATTTTTCTTTTTGGTTTGCACTGACTCACCTTTTGGCAGGTCAACAAAGAAATGGAGGTACAGGTCATTATACTCAAAATTCTTTGCCGATTCTGAAAGATGAAAATAAAAAAGTTCAAAAAGTAGGAACAAGAAGAAGAAAATTGAAAAAATCATTTAGAAAACTTTGGACAGCATTAAATAGATGATGATGATGATGATGAGCAGGAAGAGAAAGGAAGAAAGGACAGAAGGAAAATTGGAGGAAGAAGAATGATGAAGGGGAGGAAGATGGAAGATAGGAGGGTAAGAGAAGGAGCTGGAGGAGGAGGAGAAGAAGAAGAAGAAGAAGAAGAAGAAAGGGATAACAGGAGAAGGAAGGAAGAAAGGTAAAAAAAACTGAAGAAAAATAAATTGGAGGAAGAGGAGGGAAGAAAATGATGAGGAAGATGGAAGATAGGAGGCTAGAGGGAGTAAGATAGAAGGTAGGAGAAAAGAAGAAGAAGAAGAAGAAAAAGGGAAAGAGCAGGAGGTGGAGAGAAGACGACAAAAGGGAGTAGGAGGAGGGAAGAAAGGTAAAAATTGAAGAGGTAAAATTAGAGGAGTGGGGAAGAAGGATGATGAAGTGGAGGAAGATGAAAGATAGGAGGATAAAAATACTAAGAAGGCTGAGGATGAAGGAAAGAAGAGGAGTGGAAGTAGAAGGAGGAAGTAGAAAAGGAGGTGATTGGTTAAGAACAGAGGAGGAGGAAGAAGAAAAAAAGCAGAAAAAGAAAAAAGGAAGCAAACTGGTCTTTGCAAAAAATAACAAAAGCTACTTATTTATTTTAAAGTCATTCCGGGATAAAAAAAATGGATAAATACTTTTGAGGAGGCGGGGGAGGCAAGTAAAAATAGCATCTGTCCTTTGTCACCAAGAAATAGAAACCACATAACTGGAGCCTACCTTCAAAGAAGATGGCTAACAATCCTTTGTTTCCAACTCTTTCTCCATGACTAACAGTGCTTATTATTTACAGATATTTTCATGGGAGTATTGAAAAAAAGATATTTTTATGAGTAATAAAAAAGATATTTTCATGAGAATAATAAAAACATACAAATAAAAAGATTTGTTAAAAGAAATTATATTTACAAGATAAAAACTGAATAATAAACTTTGAGTGTAAGTTAAAAATTATCCGCACTTTCATCATACCATATCTTTAAGTTTGTAACACTGCCTTCTGTTCATGCATGTTTACGGTTGATACTATTGTGTTCACATGATTTGAGCTTGAGCATACCATTTATTTTACTGCTGTTACAATGTAAACATGGCCACTCCGTTAGTAGTGTACACCAAGGAGGAAAAAATAGCAGTGACTTGAATCTGCAGCGAACATGCTACCTCATTGATGATAACTCACCAGTTTGCCATTACCATATCTCGATCTGCTGGTGCAGTGGCCATGTTGATACTGTCACCATATTGATGCCAAAAACCTGCAATGAATTTCAGCCTCTGACATAACCAGAGAAATCGGATGACTGCTCTTTGTTCAACCCTGATGCATACTGCTGGTGCAGTGACCATCTTGACACTCTAACTGCAGCAAGATAACGGATGTGATCAAGCTCAAATTTTGATCACTTGAACATCATAGTACCAATATAAGCACACATGAGCAGAAGGAAGTGTGACAAATGTAAAAATATGTTATGCCAAAAGTGCTGATGATTTTTGACTTACCCACATAATTTTCAAGACATCTTTATCATTGCTATCATGAATCCTGATGTCCCTTATGGTTTTTAGGAGCACCACATGAACTGCAGCTGCAGTGTTGTTTCATTGGAAGACTGGCTGATTGTAAGAGTTTTCCTTCTCTTAAACTAGTTGAAGGAGAAATCATTGTTAGATCTGACCTAATTTAAACTGACTTTCTCTCCCACAAAAGGGGACACAGGTTCAAATCCTGCCAGAGGTTTTTCTTCAATGAGATTTCTTAAATATTCAGGCCGGTAGATAAAAATAAATATACTATTTAATAAATAAATGGAGCATCTATTCAAATGTGGGTATCTGCTAAAATATCATTTAAAGTAATAAAACAACTATATGCCAAAATTTTGTTCTTATGTTTCAGCTGAGTCAAAGAAAATTCCATTTACAGTTATTATTAGAGAATTGATCTGAATATCAAAGAAGATTGTGGCCAAAACATGAAAAAAACAACTAAGACAAAGATATATGTAGAAAAAAGAAAATATTTCATGTAAAAACTTCAGGTAATAGCAAACAATAATCTCTTTCTTTGTCAATGCACTCAATTCAGTGACGGATATTTAAGTTGGTTTAGGAAACAGGTTAATGAGATGCATAATATTTCAATCTCAATCTGTGGCGAACATGGATTTCTCAAATTGTCGGAAACAGTTGGTAAAGGAAACAATAAAAGAGATAATTTTTATTGTTTTAGAAAGAAACACTGATGCAATATTTGCCCAAGTTCCAAGAACTCAAACCTCTTCAATGTCTTCAAACAGCACAAATATTAAAAGAAACAAAAACACAAAAATTACAAAAGAAACAAAGCAAAAAAAAAAAAATTGCAATTGTAGTTTTAAATAGAATTAAACATCAAATACTGGTTATTGTAGAATTGAAATGGCAAAATAAAACTCAGTAAAAAAAATATTTCTGTTTTGAATCTACTAAAGATTTACAATGCATACAGGTGCACTTTAACATTTGATGATGTTAACATTCAATAATATTACTTCAGGAATTATTTCTTTATTATACACACACACACACATACATTTTCATACTCTTAATATTGATTACATCTCAACTGAGAAAAATGATACACTGTATACAATATTTCCAGATTTTCCAGCTTTTACAAAACATTTTCCAGATTTTGCAGCTTTTATAACCTATTTTCCAGATTTTTCAGCTTTTACAAAATATTTTCCAGATTTTTTAGCTTTTCCAAGAGGAAAGATTTTTGCAGATTTCACAATTTTTTAAAATGTTTTTCAGATATTTTAGCTTTTACAAAATATTTTCTTGATTTTTCAGTTTTTGCACTCTTTCAAGATTTTTATTTTTTACAAAACATTTTCCAGATTTTTCAGCTTTAATAACATATTCCCAGATTTTTTCGGCTTTTAAAAGTGTAAAAACTTTTCCAGATTTTCCAATTTTTAAAAACATTTCTCAGATTTTTCAGCTTTTAAAAAAATATTTTCTAGATTTTCAGTTTTTACAAAATAAAAGCTTATTGAAATTATAATGAATTATAAACAATCACATTCTAAAAAGATAACTGGAGGTAATTTACAATGTAATTTGTCTATCTTTAACTAAATGTCAACTTTTTTTTTTATTAAACAGTAACTTAATTATAATATTTTTATCTTTATGTTAAAATATTGTTATTAATTCCTGCTCAGGGCAAAAATTAACTGAAAGAAAAATGAAATTATGGTTGTTAAGAAAAAGAATCTTATTTTTTTTTTTTTAAAGATGGATTAAATAGTACAAAATATGAAAAAATGTTAATGAGCATATTGTATCAGGTTAGCCATTATCTCAGCCTGATCCATTTTACCTTTAAGGCATTTCCTATTCAACACTTGATGCTAAGAATGAATCAGCTTTAATACAAGTGTATAAAATCAATTCAACATAAAGGAAGAACTTGTTTTGTTACAAAGAAACATTTTTCATTATCATTCTCAGGTTTATCACTGAAATTCTGAATACTTTACACTCAAGTTCCATAATGAGTGTTCACTTCTTCTTCTTCTTCCATGTGACGTGCCCCTTCATTGGCAGCCATGGCTCTCCACAATTTCCTGTTCTTTGTAGCCCTTTGTAAATTTTGTTTTTTGGACTCCTTCACCTAAACCCTGCTATGCCATCCATTTACATAACCCAGTTACGTAAGTTATCTGCTGTTTTCCTTTGTCCCTTTTGTCTGCGTCAGATTTTCCAAGCCATCTTTTCTCATTATGGATCCTAGAAATTTCAGCTCTCTCTCTCTCTCTTTCTGATGCTAAGTATAAGTGTCCTTTTTGTTTCCATTTTCTCTAAAACTTTGTCTTTGCTCATGGTATCCTCAGGATCCATCTGTAGAAGCATATTTCTGTTGCATCAAGTATTTTCCTCATCTGTGCAGAGATTGTCAAGCATTCACTGTCATATAGAAGGACTGATATTATATAAGTCGAGTACTTGTTACTTTGTCTTTAACAAGATTTACCTGTATCTTCATATTTGCTTAGCTTTTGGCAATCATGTATCTGTCTATATTTCTGAGATGAGATATTATGTACACTATTTACATTATTTGGACTATTGTCCTCATCTTTGTTGCCATCTTTATTACAATGTTTCAGTTCGACATTCCAACCACCTGAGGAAGGCTGGAGTGTACAACAGCCAAAACGTTGTGATAAACATGGCGAAAAAGATGAGGACAATAGTCCGAATAATGTAAATAGTTTTGGAAGTCATCTTTCCGAATGTGTTTTATGATTTTGGTGTTGTACTGATATTTAAATAGTTGGAATTGCTTGGTTTTGGTATCTTGCCTTAGTAGTTTGCGTGTTGGACCATTTATTTTAGTGACAACCATTCTGTCTTCTTGTAATTTGATGCTTAGTCCTTTCTTCTCACTTTCCTTCACTACTTTCTGTAAAAAAATGGCTTCAAGCAAGTGAAATATGAAGTTGAGAACCATCCTGCACGGAGGTGGATTCAAACTTTTCCCAAGTGTATTTGCATGTAAATGGATATAATGAACCCAACTGAAATTGGAACTCAGATCTCCGATTAACAATTCTGAGCCATTATCCATTAAACTACCCACTAATCCAAGTTTACGGTGCTTGGCATTCCTAATTCACCAAATTTTTCCATTTCTAAGCATCTTGCTTAGTTTTTATTTTTTCTTTTAAATCATTTCACCTCAAGCAAGGCAATACTGAATGTTAGAGAATATAAGAAAAAAAAAAACATTATTAAGAAAAGAGAACAACTAAGGAACAAGAATTAAGCAGACAGTAGATAATGATTGACATTGCATTTAAATTTTTGGAGATCAAAATTGACCAGGAAGCA